AAAGCCTTCTCCATTATTCCCTAACTGGTTCCCCTTTAATTCTCTTAAAGAGACCAAGAGAATGCATCTAGTTTCTCTTCCAGATTACAACCCTTAAAATTTTCTAAAATAAGCAGTAGGTCATTTGCCCTTGGCCTCTTCACCAGGCTTCCCATTCTATCACATTTTAGCCTTTCCTCATACAGGTATTGAGATGTCCCCACGGGGAACTCATCAGCTGTGCCATCTTTAGCCAAACTGTGTCTGCGTTTGTTTTCACAACTAGTATTTATGTTAAGAGCACATATGGCACAATTCCAAATTTCTGAAAACATACTTATTCATTGAGAATTCTGTCCCTTGTTTATAAAACCTTGAACACAATCACCTAATGCAATTTTGATCGGATTTTAAAGGAAGTAATAATCCATTTAAAATAACTGGCAGTTGCAAGACCGTAATGCTTCTAGGTACCAAAAGCTTACAACCTTTGCTGGAAATGTTTATTTTTATGACTTGATTCTTACCATGTTCAAATTTAAATCAAACGGCAGAAACTGACGTGGATGGCTACTATGCCTTTCACACATTATGAGTATTTACGGAGAGGCTTCTTAGCCCACTCACAGACTTGGACAAGTAACTCGAATGACTGGCTCTTCCGATGGTGTTTGCAGGAGGCCTACCGGGAGGAGCAGCTGATTAACCGGCTGATGCGTCAGTCCCAGCAGGAGCGCAGAATCGCTGTGCAGCTCATGCACGTTCGGCATGAAAAGGAAGTTTTATGGCAAAACAGAATTTTCAGAGAAAAACAATATGAAGAAAGACGACTTAAGGATTTCCAGGATGCTCTTGATCGAGAAGCGGTAAGCAATATCTCCCTTCACTAAAATCTTGTAAGGTTACTTTTGATCCTTTCTACCATTAGTCAAGGTAAACAAATCTGGATTCAGCTGCCAATCACTGAATGAGAGCTCATTTTTGTATATGGTCTCTCTGTTCTCACCCCATTTTTATTTTTGTATAATTACATTGACAGCACATATAGGACCCACACCCTATACTCGCTCCCTTCCATTTGATTCTACAAGTATTTGACGCTCTCCACTAGTCAGTAGTCCTTGTGTCTGCATGAATACTGATCTCAAGCGTCTTCTTCAAGAGCTGAATTATCAGGATAAATGTTTCATTCCTTTTTTTTTTTGACAAGAGTCAAATTGAATGGATTGAATGCCATTTGCTGACATTAGAAACGAAGGGTTTAGCTAATCTTTCTAAGTGCCTATTAGAAAATACATTTGCTTGACAAGCCCAGTTAATTAAGTGCAAGAAAGTAAGGCATAGCAGCACAGGCCGCATTGTGGTGATAAGCATTACCTTGAGCTGACTTCTGAGGATTGGGACCCTCAGGCCTGTTAGGGCCTCAGAGACCAAAATTGTGAGGTTCTGAAGCGCCTGAAAACAGCTACATTCCTTCCTCAGGTGACTACCTTTTCCTAAAGCTGAGGTGTCTGCCTGCCTGGTACCCCTCCTTTTGAGATGGCTGATTTCACAGTTTGGATTTATCACCTCCTCCATCACCGGTGGCTGGTGTATAAATAGGAACCAAATAAATAAATGTCGAATTGAATTTGTCAAAGGAACACTGTCACCTTTTCTTTCCAGTATCATACTAACTAAACACAACATATTTTATTCCTCACAGCATTATCATTCTACTGCTTTACTTTATGAAGAAGAAGAGAGTTTTTTAAATTGTTATTTTTTTTTAATTGTCATTGTTCTTGTAGTCTTATTATTGTTTGTATAGGTTTGTTATTGTTTGTGGTGGGGGGAGGGGAGATGCCTAGAAATACTTTTAAATTTATCAAAAATGTTGAAGTTTGCTAATGATGCTCGCATGCTATTAATAGTATTTCATATTACTAAGATTAATAGTATCGATTTGTGATTACATGGTCACTTTCTGTGGAGGACACCTCGTGGTTTTCCTTCTGTTTCTTTGGCCACTCCTCAGCCTTCTTTGTAGGCCCTTCTCCTGTAATTCCGAAACATTTACCGTCGGGGTTCCTTAAAGCTCAGTCCTGGGCCGCCTCCTTCTTTCCTCCATGTTATTTCCTTAGGCAATCTCTTCCCAAGCGGTGGGGGTATGATTACTGCATTAGACATCCGGCACATGCACTTACGTCTCTGTCCTCTGAGCTGTAAATCCATGTCCAACTGCTTCCTTGATATCTCCCTTCATCTATCTCAGAGACACCTCAAGTTCAACACATTAAAGCCAAATGTATACCCCTTATCACTAAACTGGCCTTTTACAAGTTTTCATAGCTCAACAAAAGCCATCACCATTTATTCAGCTGCACAAGTCCAAAACCTCGGGGCCCACTTGAAGCCTGTTTGTCTCACCCTCACCCCTCCCTATCCAAAACACTGCAACATCCTATTGATTTCATGTATTAAATATCTCTCCAGTTTGTCCATTTTACTCCACGTCTGTGCCACCATCCCAGTCTCTACTACTCCTACTGCAGCGATGTAGCTGCATCACTGGCTATGAACTGGCAACCACAGTTGGTATGTGCAAGAACATAACATTCTTTATGTTTTTTAAATCAACCTAAGCTGAGCTCCAGCAGCTGAGCTCTGCCCACAGAGATATGCAGGGCCCAGGTCACAGGCCAAGTCCTCAGGGAAGCACTCCAGTCCTGAGGCACAAGCCCAGTCTGTTGACCTCAGCTACCCCAGCCCACACATTGCTGTCAGCAGCACATGCCTGGGAGGAGGCTGTTCCAGCCTGTGTGGGTCCCTCCCTGTGTGGGCCTCTCCCATGTTCCCCTCTGAGACTTGGCTGTTCCCAGGACCTGCCAGGGAGCCGGGTCCACATCTCTTTCTCTTTCTCTCTGTTGTCAAAACCTTCCCCTCTGTCCTCTCCCTTTGAGCAACCTAGA